CTTTCTTTTATGGTATTTCTGAGTCCTCTCTCCTCCTGTTTCCAGTATCATCACCTGAGCTTCTATATGAGCTCCTGAAAAGCTTCTGAACTAGTCTCCCTTCTTCTATACCTAAACTGTATTTTTTTTAAAAAAAATAAATGTTTTGATCATGGCATTACTTTGCTTCAAAAGCCTCAAAAACTCACTACTGCCAACAAAATAAAATACAAGTTCCTTGACATTCCATAATATTCTACAATCTAATCCCAAACCACCTTTCTAGCCTCATTTCCCACTACTAATTTGATAGACTCTGTTCTTCCACTCAGTGCGATCTTCTCACTCTTTCCTAAACATAGCTTACGATGCCACATTCCTGCTTCCATGGTTCTGCTTACACTGATCCCTTTCCTTATTCTTTCCTTAGATTCACACTCTCTCCTTCATGACTGAGCACACATTCTCTTTGACTATGCAGAGCAGTGGTTTTTTTCTTTTACTATGACCACAGTATTTTACATCATGACCTGCATTTAACTTTACTTCAAGCAATGCACATTGGTGTTTTCTATGCTCTCTCTTTTTCAGAACGACTCACTAAAATAACTGCACAGATCACTAATAGGTTTCAATCTTCAATTTGAAAAATACTCTCAGTGCACTTTTCTAGATACTCACTGGCAACTTAACTAGATCCTGGTACTTAAAGATGAAACTTATAATTATCAAACTAATGATCTTAACGTTAAGGATAGGACAGGGTCAGTATCTCGTACTTCATTTTACCTACCACAATGCCAAAGACAGTATGTATTAATCATTACTGAAGAGAAAGACTAATATTAAATATAGCTATCATATCTATGATCAGATAGGATCATGATTAGGACTGCTTTGTGTTCCCATTGTCATTTCAAATTGTAGTTATGATGGTCAAAATGGCTAGTTTTCAGGAACACTCTGACCTGTACTTTCTGCCTTCCTACCTTATGGGACTATATAATAGTCCTGCACAGTGGGGGAACACAGTAAGTACACTGTAAGTGCTCATTTTCACTCTCCCTCAAAAGTATCAGAAAGTCTCTATATGGTGGACACCTATTACCATTCACTGGACATGTTTCTCTTGTATCACAAATACTCAGGTACCTCTGCTCTGCCTGTGAAGCCATTTTTAGTCCAGTGTCCTCATTTGGCCTTTCTAGCTTTGCCAAAGTTGTAATAAGGGTAAGCCTTTTGTTTCAACAGAAAGACAGGTATTAAGGTTGAATGGCCTCTCCTGCCATCAGCATTGAGGTTCTTGGCCATTAAAGTCCTGTTAAAGTTGTCGACTCTTTCAAAAGCATCATCAGTAATTTGAATTAAGAAAATGAAAAGGCAATGACGTGATCTAAAATCTGTACTGAATAGTTTCTTCTCTGGCAAACAGCATGACTCATAAGACAAGCCAATGGACAAAATAAATTCTTAATTCTTAAATCTCAAAGATTCCTTAATTTTGCCACATGATGATTCACCAAGGTTCCTGAGATGCAGAACATCTAAAGGCACTCTGCTTCCCTTTTATGTCCAACTCCTGAGCTGGTTATGACCTGCTACAGGTTTAGTGGGGTACAGTGAGTACACCATAACATGCTCTGATCCATCCAGACCAGGCTCAGTGTAACCATCAAGGTTTTAGGAAGAAATAAGTCCCTAAGTTCTATCCAAGAAAGAATCTGAGTATCTTTATCAGTCCTGAAACTACCTAAAGCTCCCAATAGGCATCTTGGAGTAATTATGGGCCCAGAGCAAACTACTCTGGAAGCCCCAAATATCTACCATTAGGCTTCCTTCTGAGATCTGGGAGTATGCGCCTCAACATTTGATAGATATTGTCTCCTGAAGGCCAGACTCAAAACTTCAACAATCTTAGGGCTCTAAGACAGCCATCTAGAATTACACTGTCATTCACTAACAATTTAAAATTTACTCTAATCCTCATTGCAGTGCCCCAGTAAAAAACACTAACTCAGAGCAGGTTTATATGCAAGATTTTAGAACCAAACTAAAAAAAAACAGCTTCTGAAATGAGTATATTATATGTAAAGTGGCAAAATTTCAAGAATACAAGTCATTTCTGGAATATCTTTTCAGAATGAAGACAAAATCAAATTACTTTTGGTGGTGAATTATTTTCCTCACAGAGACCCACACTCAAAAGCAAATGAAAGGTAAAGCCAAAACTATTTATTTTAAAGATGCCAAAGCTAGGTTAACCTTTTTTAAACAAGTCAAATAAAAAAGATTCCTTGGGAAAAAAGGACCATTAAATAGAACTGGTAGAGGCTCTAAAAATGTAATAACAATGTAGGCTTAAGCTTTTTAAAAAAAATTCCTGTGCTGCCTTCTTGCTATTTAACTAAAACACCTTCTTCCCCTTAAATCTCCCTGTGTCTACTAATATTTTTGCTTTTGTTAACTCACAAGAGGTAACTTCTCAGAAGTAGAGCACCAGTTATTAAACTGGATTTTTCTTTTGGCACTTACCCTCTGATACATTCCATTAAATTAGAGATTTTATATTGTTAACTACCCCTTTATAAACAAGTACATCTTGGAAAGGTTGACTCTATATTATCTTTCAACTAAGCCTCAAGGAAGAGAGGAAAGGAGGAAGAGAGGGAGAAAGAAAAGGTGGGAAGAAGGGAGAGGGGGAAGAAATAATTTAAAAAATAGAACTATCTAGAAATATAAAAAAAGGGCAGAAGAGGATGAAGGAATCATGTCTAAGTGAGGTAGGGTAGGAAACCAGCCAGAAAATCTCAGACCTAAGTAAATAAAATGGGAACAAAAAGCCTTCACTGGAAACACTGGAGATAATGTATAATCCAGGCAATAAAAGCCATGCATGTTACACCAGTGCTGTAGACAGATACTAGATTAAGCAATTTATAGGCATATCAAAGTAATATGATGAGTGATAAAGTTACCAGTAAGTAGAGTGATACATAGAATGTATTAAAGAAAGTTTACTCAAAGGTTTTAAAAGCTCCATTCCAAACAGTTTACTAAAGAACCTCTTTACTCCAGTACTAAACGGAGGTTTTTGCCAGGTCTCTAATGATCATTAAGGTCCTGTTAAGAAATAATTCTTAACAGAAAGAGTTCCCAAGGACCACTTTCAGGTGGGTGAAACTTATGAAAATATGTTTGTCAGTATCTAAAACATGTGGCCCAACATACACTCTGGGTTCTAACTTAAAGTTCAATATAAGGTTTTAGTTTTAGAATTCTCAGTTATCATTTCTTACTCTTTTTGGCATATATAAACTGTCCAGATGCTTCCTTTAATATACCAGAAACACAAGGCAGATAATTTTTTAAAATAAAAGTTCTCCTGCCAAACTGCTTTGTAGCAAACTAGCAAAATGTCTTTGACTAGCTCGTTTTATCCTTTATTCAATATTAAAGCCATCATCTACTATACATGCATCAAATACTAAGCAATGAGGATACAAACCTGAACAAAACAGAATCCCTGCCTTTGAGGCACAGTCATTTGGCAGAAAGAAGCATATGAACAGAAAATTACACTACTACCTGATAGCGTTTTACAACAGGAGATTTGAACAGAACATTGTGCAAAGTGGTAAATGCCACTAAATCAGCCGGAGGACTATGCTAAGCCTGTTCAAGAGAACTTGACATTTAAATTTGTCTGCAATGAGGCAGAGTCATTCAGGCTAGTCAGGGTCCCTTCTACTTAAGAAAGGCAGGACAAGAAGCTGAAGGTCTTGGAAGTCTTCTTCATCAAAAATGGCTGGTGCAGACAATTCTAGTTTGTTGGTAATTAATATAATCTCAGTATCAAAGAGAGAATATTTTACTTATACAGTCCTCATCTTCTCTCCCAAACTTACCCTCTTCCTACATTCCTTTTCTCAGTAAATGATAATATCAACTAAAATTTAATCTTCCATAGTCAACTAACCACCAATTTCTACTGATTCTACTCCATACTACCTATTTATTCTGTCTACTTCTGTCTCCTGTGGGTACCATCATGTCTTACTTTAGAGGCTTCCAACAGACTCCAAAAGAGTTTTCTTGTCTCTGAGATCCCTTCTCTCAATCAACCCATTCTTCATACTGGAGTCAAAATGATCTTTCCAAAACACAAAGTTGATCATATGACAGACAGCCCATCTTAAAATCATTCAACTGATTTCTATTGCTATCAAATTAAGTCCAAACCCTTCAGCACAGCTGTCAATACTTGGTCTGGCTTGCCTCATGCTACAATCTTTTATACTCACACAGAACCTCCTGCGGTTTCCTCAATATACAGTGCTCACTCACCATCCTTTGTAGAACCTTCCAAGACTCCCTCAAAAGAGAATCAGGTGACCTGCCCCCAAAAATGATCTTTCAATACCCATTGCTCCTCTATCACCATACTTACCACATTATACAATATTTTGGTTACCTGTCTGTCTCCTCCAGGAAGCTGTAAGTTCCTAAGGGACAGAAACTACCTTATACAATTTTGTATTTACTCTATAAAGCATTATGCTTGCCTGGCACTGACATATAGTTCATGCTTGATAAAGACTTGATGAATGCATGAATAAATGAACGAATGAATGGACAAACTGCAAAGAAACAAAAATTCAATGTCCTACAAGTTGTCATATTTATGAGCTACACTACAGAAACCTAATCCTTTAGCAAGACCATATTTAAGCCATGGGCCTATCACAATCAACCTGTCTTCAGAGACAGAAATAAAGAAGGCTACCCCATACACTCAAAATTCAAATGAGCTTAAAAATGTATTTATGTCTTCCAGTTTAGATAGTGTAGTTTACTACTTAAGTCATTTTTCTGGAGAGAATACACATATATCAGAATCGTGATATGCTATGCATTTTTAAATTAAATTGTAACTACATATACACTTTTACAGTATTTTCACTGGTAAAATGTTGAGTTTACTTTTTAGCATAAATAAAAGCTGCACCTCACCACTGACTCACCGATTCTTTTCCAGCTCATTATGCGTAGACCTAAAAGGAAAAAAGAGAAAGAGAGAAAAACAGAGCATTAGCCAGGTTTTGCTGCATAGGCTATAGAAAGGGGGATTAATTTACTTACTGCTATACCACATACAGTGAAATTATTTAGCAATGAATATACAGTCAGACTTCTATAATCTTACTCATCAAGAAGAAATAGTCTGTATTCACTGGAATTGTTCATTTAGGTATAGTGTTTTTAGTTAACAACTCTAAATTTTCTGAAACTGGAGTCTCACTGTTATCTTAATAAAACTAGTACTGGCACATGTTCTCTTGACTACCTCTAGTATACTCATTTGTTGACCTGTAGACATTATATCAAAAATTTTAATTCAAACACAATCCCATTTTTGTTTGAAAAGAAAAAAAGTGTGTGTACTTCTATGTCCTCTTCCACTAAACATAGGGAGAAAAAAGTTTGGGCTAGCACAAAAATTGAAAACAGGTTGGCCTTTCTGCTAAGTGATACAGACAAATTCAACCCTTCATACTTTGTGTGAAACCTAAACAAGTTATACAAGGACAAAAAATAATAAATAAAAAATAAAAGGATATATTAACAAAATCAAGAAACACATTTTTTAAAGACTGGGAGGATAATGCCTCAAAATGCTAAAAATGGTTGTTTTCTTTTTGTGACCTTTTTTTGTCTTGCCTATCCGTATTTGTTATGATAATATCTATCATGTATTGAAAAAGCGTGCTGCATCTGCAACACAGTGTGCTAAGCAGTTAATATACATTACCTTATTTTTATCTCCCGAACAAACCTTGTTTTATAAACAAGAATACTGAGGCTCAGAGAGGTCAAGAGGCATGTTCTTGTCCCAAGAGTATAAGAAGAAGCCAAGATTTAATCCAGGTATTTCTTACTTCAAACCCCTGGAAACAGTCTATTTAGAAAAAGGAAGACTATTTGCCATAAACTTATTTTAAACAATCTGATGATCCCACATAAGCCCACTTAAGAGATGTTAAGAGCACAGACCCTAAGACTAGACTGCCTGGGTTCAAATACTGCGTAGCCTTGTTACAGACCCTTCAATTCACTGTGTTCAGTTTTCTCATCTATGAAAAACAGAAAAAAATAACAGTACTTGATGCATATGATTGTTATGAGGAATAAACAAGTCCACAATGAACAGTAAAATATAAAAACTCTAAAGTTAGCTACTATTAGAATTATGTAACACTAGTTCTCAAATGAACATGTTAACTTTTACAATAATTTAGTATTAACAATACAGAAATTAAGGAGAATTTAGGTTCCTGTCACCAGAACTAAAACTTCCATCATTTAATATATTCTGGTTAATGTCAAAAGCCTTTTGAATATTAAATTACTGATTAGTTTCATCAAATTTACTATTCCAATGGATATTTAATAATCAAATTTCTAAATAACAGAGTGCTTTTGTTAGTCTCATAACTTGTGAAAATTTTAGCTACTATTTAGTTCAAGAGCCAAAAGGCTTCTCTACGTTACTGTCCCCTGTGGCACAGGATGAAAAAGACCAATGTTCATTTTCAAGAGATTATCATAATGAAAGGACTTACCCCTCAAAAAAGGAGGTAAAAGAAAAAAAAATCTGAGGATTCTTTGAGAGTTCAGCCAAATTAATGGCAAGGATATATACAACTCAGATGGAAAAACTATAAAAACATAGTCAGAAAGTCCCTCAAAAGAAAATCTAACAGAGATTCAGAGTTCAAAACCCAATCAGTAAATTACAACCAAGGCTCTATCACCATATATATATTTTAAAAAGGTTTTGATTAGATTCATTTTTGTTGAAATGAAACGTCAAAGAAGTTCGAAGAGGGAAAAGGCATATTTTAAAGAGATTTAAAGAAAAAAATCGTGTTCAAAATTTGAATGGGAAATCAAATAATGAAATTTCCCACCTCTCTTAGAAAGTTTAATTGCTTTTATCTGAGAAGAAAATCTAGAACAAGTAAAACAAAAACAATGAAAAACTAGAGTAAGTCATAAATGGAAACAGAAGAAGCCAAGATTTAATCCAGGTATTTCTTACTTCAAACCCCTGGAAACAGTCTATTTAGAAAAAGGAAGACTATTTGCCATAAACTTATTTTAAACAATCTGATGATCCCACATAAGCCCACTTAAGAGATGTTAAGAGCACAGACCCTAAGACTAGACTGCCTGGGTTCAAATACTGCGTAGCCTTGTTACAGACCCTTCAATTCACTGTGTTCAGTTTTCTCATCTATGAAAAACAGAAAAAAATAACAGTACTTGATGCATATGATTGTTATGAGGAATAAACAAGTCCACAATGAACAGTAAAATATAAAAACTCTAAAGTTAGCTACTATTAGAATTATGTAACACTAGTTCTCAAATGAACATGTTAACTTTTACAATAATTTAGTATTAACAATACAGAAATTAAGGAGAATTTAGGTTCCTGTCACCAGAACTAAAACTTCCATCATTTAATATATTCTGGTTAATGTCAAAAGCCTTTTGAATATTAAATTACTGATTAGTTTCATCAAATTTACTATTCCAATGGATATTTAATAATCAAATTTCTAAATAACAGAGTGCTTTTGTTAGTCTCATAACTTGTGAAAATTTTAGCTACTATTTAGTTCAAGAGCCAAAAGGCTTCTCTACGTTACTGTCCCCTGTGGCACAGGATGAAAAAGACCAATGTTCATTTTCAAGAGATTATCATAATGAAAGGACTTACCCCTCAAAAAAGGAGGTAAAAGAAAAAAAAATCTGAGGATTCTTTGAGAGTTCAGCCAAATTAATGGCAAGGATATATACAACTCAGATGGAAAAACTATAAAAACATAGTCAGAAAGTCCCTCAAAAGAAAATCTAACAGAGATTCAGAGTTCAAAACCCAATCAGTAAATTACAACCAAGGCTCTATCACCATATATATATTTTAAAAAGGTTTTGATTAGATTCATTTTTGTTGAAATAAAACGTCAAAGAAGTTCGAAGAGGGAAAAGGCATATTTTAAAGAGATTTAAAGAAAAAAATCGTGTTCAAAATTTGAATGGGAAATCAAATAATGAAATTTCCCACCTCTCTTAGAAAGTTTAATTGCTTTTATCTGAGAAGAAAATCTAGAACAAGTAAAACAAAAACAATGAAAAACTAGAGTAAGTCATAAATGGAAACAGTCTATTTAGAAAAAGGTAGACTATTTGCCATAAACTTATTTTAAACAATCTGACGATCCCACATAAGCCCATCAATGCAAATACCCAACGATAACTAACTGTTGAATTCCAATATTATATTGAGCCTACTGTCAAAGCCAGCATCAAAAGAACATAATCTAACCTACTGCTGTGAACAAAATTAAAACAGCAGGTTCTTCCCACCTCTGTCAGGTTTTTCTTTATTATTTGTCTTCGTTCTAGAAAAATATAAAATGATAGCTAGGAATATGAACTCTTCCACCAAACCAGGAAATGCATGCCATATCCAGTTATATCACTAGCAAAATCTAACAAGATTTCCAAATACCAAGAAACAAAAATGACTATATATGTACTAATCTCTACCATATTCCCATGTTCTTCTGATTTTTAAAAAAAGCATCAGTAGTATTGACTCCTATTTTGATGGTTTTTTGCCTGTAATATCAGTTCAACAAACATTACGTATCTTCAATACAGGGTATCAAAGACAGTTTCTAGTTGGTAAATTATGACAAGTATAGGAATAATTATAACTCGAGACAAAATAAATATATCAAGAAAAGTACAAAGTGTTATGGGAGTTTAAAAGGGCAGACTTTACTTCCAGATGGGGCTATCAGGGAAAATTTTAGAAGAGGGTGACATTTGGTCTGAGGCTTAAATGATGTACACTTGTTAACAGCAGAGGCTGGACCTGGTACGGAGAGGATATTTCATGTGGAACAGACAGCATGAGCAAACAAGCAGTGATATAAAGTCCAAAGCAAAACCCGAGAACAACAATCTGTAGGTGACAAAGATCTGTGGTGTTAGAAGAAAAAAGTCCTGAGTCTAAATATCAACTCTATCACTCACACTAGCTGTATAACTTTTGACAAATTATTTAACCTCTCTGATTAAGTTTACTCATCTATAGAATTGGAATAATAGCACATGTCCCAGCTGGGTTACTGGGAGAATTAGAGAAAAATATGTAAAAGCATCTACCATATAGTAAGTATTCAACAAATGTTAGCCACTGGAAATACTCTTTATTATTTTTAACAAGACTAAAAACTATACTACCCAAAACAATGTTAAGTATACATGAGGCAATAAATTGATGGGTTCTCAGTAATACTTAGAATTAGCCTAGAAACAAACAATCATAATGTTGAAAAAAGAAACTAAGTGAAAAGATAGGTAATTAGGTCATTTAGTCAGCTATGAGACAGTGATAGGTTTAGGCTATGACAGAGAAAAAGATGCCTCATTATATGTACATAAAGAAAATAACAACCCAGGTAGTGCTGGCAATAAGTGAGTAATTGAACATATCACATACTAGCACTCTCAGAAATAACCTCTTTGCTCTCTGAGCCTATGTGTCTAAGTTTTTCCAATAATGTGCTACTGAAATATTCAATGATGATTAATCCGGTAAGATTGAGGTGAATAATCCATCTGGTTAGCCCACTTTTCTCCTCCAAATAAAATACACCTCTAAGAACAAACACTAATGAACTTTCTTCCTTCCAGACGCCCTTACTTTGAATGCTTAACAACTTTCAAGGACAAAAAAAAGACACTTCTATCATTTTATCTTTGAATCTCAGGTAATCTTTTTCACAAATAGTATCCCTTTAAGAGAGACATGCTAATACAATGTTTGAATGGAAATCATGATCTGTGACTTTTCATTGACTATAACACAGCTCTAATAAACAAACTTTCAATTTTTTAGGGGGCAGTTTGGTGGAAGTAGTGAAATAAAGCATAGAATTAAAACTGAACAAAATGGTATAGTTTGGCTAAAGAG